GTGGGTGTTGTTGTTTGTTAAACATCTCACTAGTTTTCCCAGGCTCCTAGCAACAATGATTACAAGCCTACACCACCAAGCCCAGCTTCCCCTCCCTGCCTATATTAAGGAGGGAATCAAAGACCTTAGACTGTGCTGCCCCTAATTTATATCCTTCAGCTCCTAAATACAATGTAAGAAATGGGTGTGGCCAGGCATGATGGTGTACACCTTTAATTTCAGCACTCTACATTACCTACATTGTAAGTTCCAGGCCAGCTGTAGCTACATGAAAGAAAGAAATATAAATAGGTTTAGCATCTGTAACTCTAGCTCCAGGGGGATCTGACATCCTCTTCTGGCCTCTGTGGTCATTGCATGCATGTGATATGTTTAGGTACATGCAGGCAATACACTCACACATGTTTGTATGATGTATATTCCCTGCACGATGTTAAGTGCACCCATGTCATCAATACCCTCGGAGGTCAGAAGAGGGCATTGGATCCCCTGGAACTGGAGTTACAGATGTTTGCTAGCCACCATGTGGGTGCTGGGAATCAAAGTTAGTTCCTTTGCAAGAACAGCCAGTGCTCTTAACTGCTGAACCATCTCTCCAGACCCTTGTTTTGTTTTGAATACTTTAAGTGAATTACCTTGTTTTTTGAGGCAGGGTCTCTCATTGGCCTGGAGCTTACTAGGTAGGGTAGTCTGGCTGGCCGTTGAGCCCCAGGGATCTTCCTGTCTCCTCCTCCCCAGTGCTGAGATTATAAGCACATGCCTGGCTTTATTAAGGGTTCTGGAGCTGGAACTCAGGTCCTCATGCTTGTGTGGCAAATACTTAACCAAGTAAATTATCACTCTAGCCTTTATATATGTGTTTCTTTTTAAAAATATTTTATTTATTATTTTTATTTTGTGTATGAGTGTATTGCCTGCATGTATGTGAGTGCACTCGTGTCGTGCAATGCCAAGGTCAGAAGATGGCTTAGGATTCCCCTGGAACTGGAGTTAAGGACGGTTTGTAGCCACCATGTGGGTGCTAGGTATCAAACCCGGGTCCTCTGCAAGAGCAGTCAGTGCTCTTAACCACCGAGCCAGCCCCTAGCCCTTATATGTGTGTTTTCTAGCTCTTCCTCATTAGAATGAAGGCTCCCCAAGAGCAGCAACTTTGTCTCTGTCCCTTCCTTGCTGTATATGCTGATAAACAAAAGATAGCCATGGGTCAGTGAGATAGCGCAAATAGCTTGCTGTGCAAGCCTGACAACCTGAACTCGATCCATAGAACCCATATAAAAGTGGAAGCAAGCCGGGCGTGGTGGCGCACGCCTTTAATCCCAACATTTGGGAGGCAGAGGCAGAAATAAAAAAATAAAAATATGCCAGAAGCAGGCATGGTGGTACACACCTATAATCCCAGTATTGAGGGAGAGGCAGGAGACTCAGGAATTCAAGGTCAGCCAGCCTCTGCTACATAGCAAGTTTGGGGTGCATAACCATGAAATCTTGTCTTAACAAATCAAGAAAAAAAGCCATAGAAAAACATTAACTAGCCAAGTGTGGTGGCTCACACCTATAATCCCAGCACTTAGAAGGTGGAGGCAGGAGGATCATTCCAGGCCAGTTTGGGCTACACAGTGAGTTCTAGGCTAGCCTGGGCTATAGAGTAAAAAAAAAAAAAAAAAAAAAAAAAAAAAAGTGGAAGCAGAGAACTGACTCCACAAAATTGTCCTCTGACCTCCGTATGGATGCAGTAGCAGGAACACACAACACACACACATCACACATATACAATATAAATAACTAGGTGGGTTTTGTTGTTGCTATTTTGTTTTGAAACAGGCTCTCATTGTGAGACAGGTTCACAGAGATCTGCCTGTCTCTGCCTTCCAAGTGCTAGGATTAAAGGCCTGCATACCTTATTGGTTGGAGAGATGGCTCAACAGCTAAGATAACCTACTTCTTTGCCAGAGGACCTGGGTTCAGTTCCTGACACACATATATGGTGATCCAAAGCCCTCTTTTGGCCTCCACAGATACCACACATGCATGTGGTACATATGTACATGCAAGCAAAATATTCATACACATAAAAGTAAATAAAAAATTTTAAATAAAAAATAAGCTGAGCATGGTTGCACATGCCTTTAATCCCAGCACTCAGGAGGAAGAGGCAGGTGCATATTTGTGAGACTGAGGCCAGCCTGGTCTCCAAAGTGAGTTCCAGGGCAGCTGGGGCTACAGGGAGAACCTGTCTCAAAACAAACAGAAATGAAACAAAACAATAGCCAACACTTATTGGAATAATTCCCAAGTGATGAATGAAGAAATGAATGAAACTTGGTTGAGGTCACATGACCAGTAAGTGGCCAGGTCTTCCTACTGGAAATGTGCAGAATGGGTGGACGGTACCATCATTTGCCTTAGCAGATGAGGAAGAGGAATCAGAGAAAAGAAATGGCTTGCCCCTTGAGTCACACAGTGCATCTATGCCAAAGGTTAGCTGACATGAGGATTCTGGTCCTAGGTGCAATCAGAGGTAGACACATGACCCCAGCCCCATCAGGAGCCTCTGAGAGAGGAAGTTCAAAGAAGCTAATGCTGACACTGCACAGACTCCACAGGCTGAACAGAGGGCTGACCAGGGAGACTGGGGGGAGGGCTGCCTTTCCAGCTATTTCATGCCATTCTGCATTTGCCCGGTTGCCCTGGCCACGGTTATTTGGAGATTTGATAGAATTGCTTTTCATTGCTTGTAGAATCAGTGAAAAGAGGTGAGATGTCTCAGATAGTAAAGGCAGTTACTGCCAAGCCTGAAAACCCAAGCTCAATCTCTCGGATACCCATGGGCTGCAGAGAGGGACCTCTGTTGAGGGAAGGGTCTCCCTGTAGTCCCAGATGGCTTGGCACTCACTATGTAGACCAGGCTAGTCTCAATCTCACAGAGACCTACCTGCCTTTGCCTTCCAAGTGCTGGGATTAAAGGTGTGTGCCACCACAACTCACTTCAAAATGCCGGATTTGGATGCAGACATTCCTGCCAAATACAAACCCTTCATCCAAGTGGGATCCATCTGGTTCTCAGATGATCCCTTGTGTTTCCCATTGGGAGCATCAATGAAGAGTGAGTCTCTGTCATAGGTTTACTGTATGACTCAAGAGTCACTGTACGACCTGGAACAGACCACATCGCTGAGCCTTGGTCTCCTCCACTCTAAAATGAACCACTATAGGCTATCAAAAGTGTTAAGCCCATGAATCTGCCCTCTAAGTGTCATCAAGTCCCTAGGACTGCAGCCCTCTCTAGGGTTACACTTTGTGTGTCTTGCTTCCTCTACCAGAGTGCATCCAAATCCCTTCGCAAGCTCTGCTGTCCAGCAAAACCAGGCACGGGGGAAACAGAGGGGCTGGTGAACACTGGACTGGAACCTTGATCTAGAGGCCCCAAGCAGGATTAGTGAGGCTCCAGGCAAGAGGCGCCTGGGCAGAGAGGGAGCATCTGTAAACCATCCACTTCCCAGAGTGTCGCCCTCATTGCTGAGGTGGCCCAAAGAAGGTGGGACTGGGAAGAGGAAAATTCTCCAGTGCAGGGGTGGGCCTTCTAGAACTTGGTCTCTTAGGCCAGTGCTACGTGGTTAAGCTCCTCCTATTCCCTCCCCATCTTTTCTGTTTTTTAACCCCTATATCCTGTGAAGTAGAGATTGTTACTGTCCCCATTTTACAGAGGAGAAAGTCGAGGTTGTGATTTCCACTATTCAGGAGTCCCAGACTCTTCAGCGCGCTGACTGTGACCCTTCCTCAAAACGCAGTGCCTGGACCAGGGACAGGAGGAGGGACACAAGGGGGGGGGTGCAGGAAGGAGGGGCCCCATCCGGGCAGGGGCGGAGCAGAACTGCCCAGAGATTGGCAGGAGACCAGATCCCATGGAAGCGGCGAGCTGCAGCTACCAGTTTCGGATCGCGCTGCTGGGGGACGCTGCGGTGGGCAAGACGTCGCTGCTGCGGCGCTATGTGGCGGGCGCACCCCGGGCCGAGGAGCCTGAGCTGGAGCAGGAGCCCACGGTGGGCGTGGAGTTCTACAGCCGTGCGCTGCAGCTGCCCGGGTTGCGGGTCAAGCTGCAGCTCTGGGACACAGCGGGTCAGGAGCGCTTCAGGTGCGGCGGGCTGGGAGGGAACCTCTGCTGGGGAGAAGGGGTCCACGCCCTGTCTCCTCGCCCTGGGGACCTTCCCCGCCCCCGCCCCAGGGGCCAACTGCAGTGGTCCTTACCTTGCCAACCCCTTCCTAATACAGTGTCGGATGGGCCAAGTTCCACAGCCACGAATGTCATGGAGCCACATTCTCTACAACCTACAACCCATTTGCACCGGGGGCATTGCACTTCTCACAAGGATGAATTGACCCGGGTGCTGGGAGAGTTCTAAGAACTCAGAGGGGAAGTGTCAAGGGGGATTTGTGTTGAGGCATAGAGACAAGGGGAACAGAGACAGGGGAACAGAGACAGGAAACTGGGGGAAGAGGGCAGAGCGCCCTGCAGCCTGCCATCCCAGCACTCTGGAGGTGGGAGACAGGAGGATCAGAGGTTCAAGACCAGCCTGAGATACATGATACCCAGAATTGGAAGCATGTCCAAAGTTTGTGACTTCTTAACTGGGAGGTTCTCTGTACTGAGTGACAGTTGGAGACCCAGGCAGGGAAGCTCAGGATTGTGTGAAAGGAATGGAATGGAGTAGAAAGGCTTCAGTGGATCCCATTGGTGCGTGGCTCTGAGAGTGTCTTGAAGGCATTAAGCCTGTCCTAACTTACCACCCCCCACCCCCCTCCCCACCTCCAGGTCCATCACCAGATCCTTCTACCGGAACATGGTGGGCGTCCTGTTGGTCTTTGATGTGACAAACAGAGACTCCTTTGAACACATCCAAGATTGGCACCAGGAGGTCATATCCACTCAGGATCCTGACAAGGTGATCTTCTTACTGGTTGGTCACAAGAGTGATCTGAGCACCCGCTGTGTCTCCACCCAGGAAGCAAAGGAGCTGGCAGCCTCTTTGGGCATGGCCTTCATGGAGACCTCAGCCAAAAACAACTCCAATGTGGACCTGGCCTTTGACACCATCACTACTGCCATCCAGCAGGCCTTGCAACAAGGGAACATCAAGCTGGAAGAGGGCTGGGGGGGTGTCCGGCTCCTCCACAGAACCCCAAACCCCAGGTCCTCCAGCAGGAAACAGCACTCGGGTCCATGCCAGTGTTGAATCTGGGAGAGAAAGAGTTAAAGTAGTGCAACCTCAGGCTTCCCACAGAGGCAAGGAGAGGTAGTATTTGACAAATGCCAGAAGGTTAAAATCAACATCAAGGGTCTCTTGGCATGGTGAGACCTCCTAAATCTTAGGGTTTTTTTTGTTTGTTTGTTTTTGTTTTTGTTTTGTTTTTGTCTGTCTGTGTGCTGGCAATTAAAACATGGGCTTTTGCCAGGTGTGGTGGCACATGCCATTAATCCCAGCACTTGGGAGGCAGAGGCAGGCAGATCTCTGTGAGTTCAAGGCCAGCCTGGTCTACATAATGAGTTCCAGGTCAGCTGGGCTACAGGGAGACCCCATATCAAAAAGACCAAATAAATCAAAAACAAAAAAAAACCTCAGGCTTTTGTGCCAAGCTCTCTATCTCTGAGCCACATACGTCCTCAGTCCTTTTCTTTTTTATTTTAAGATTGGATAGATCTTGCCCAAGTTGGCCTTGAGCTTGTGATCCTCCTGCCTCAGCCTCCTGCCTGGCAGAGATTACAGGTATATTTCACTGGGCCAGGCTGTCTCTTGGATCTCAGTTCAACCTCTTTCTAGGGAAGAGTTTAAGGCCAGATTTACAACTTCTTTTCCTTTAGCCTGTTTCCTCAGCCATCAGTGTGATGGGGGTCGGGGGGAGCAGCACATAGGCCTTTAATCCCAGCACTTGGAAGACAGAGGCAGAATCAGGAGTTCAAAGCTAACCTCGGCTTCATAGCAAGTTTGAAGACAGCCTGGGCTGTCTCAAAAAACAAAACAAGCCTGGCATGGTGGCACATGCCTGTAGTCCCAGCACTTGGGAGGCAGAGGCAGGCGGATCTCTGTGACTTCAAGGCCAGCCTGGTCTACATAGTGAGTTCCAGAGCAGCTGGGGCTACAGGGAGACCCTGCTTCAAAAAAAAAAGACAAAAAAAACACCCAAACAAAACAAAAACCCCAAAAGATCCCACTGCACACAGAGGTTGTGGTCATGAGTGAGACGTGGGACAGGATTGCTCACTCAGAGCCGGCCACATTGAAGCCATCAAGCCTCTGCTTTCCTTTCCTGGCTTCAAATGGCCATTTCTGGCAGCATTCCTGGGCTCAGAGGCTGAGCTGCCTCTGTGTCTGTCCACCGTAGCGCTGGTGTGGGGAATTCCAGTGCAAGCCTGGCTCAGAGATTCCCTAGGTCCTCCTGGCCTTCAGGAGGGGTTGTTGAGTCTGGCCTTCAACCAGGGGTTGTTGCTTAGGGTCCCCACCCCAACCAAGCTTAGTGGCTAGAGTTGAATTCTGGTGGGGAGGAGCATAAATGAGCAGCAGATGTGTTGGGTGTACTGTGAAGACATGGTGAGCCACCAGGGACTGTGTGTGCTGGAGCCCTGCTGGATGATGGATCTCTGCTTACCGAACTCCCTGGGACCTAGTTGTCCTCAGGGCAGCCCACATCCAACTTCTATCCATGGTGAGAGTGTTAAAGAACTCACCCTCTAAAACGAAGCATGATGGCACATGCCTATAATCATGGCACTCTGCAGGTAGAAATAAGAGGACTAAAGGTTCAAGGTCATCCTCAGCTACATAGTGAGTTAAGAGTTCCAAGCCAGCCTGGGACAGAGGAGCCTCTGTCTAAAAAACAAACAAAAAACTTGTGTTCTCTTATCCCAGCTCTGGATACTCTGAAGCTCAAATCCAGCTTATCACTATGGGCTTCTTAGAGGACATCACTATGATGTCACAGTCAAGTTCTCCCTCTGCCCAATCCTGCTTCCCTCTGCTTCTTCTCCATTGAGGTGTAGATCTCAAGACTGCCTTCCTGATAAACATCTGCATGCTCACCTTCAGCTCAGACTCTGCTACATGGAGAACCTGACCTGCAGCAGGAGCTGCTAGGCCAGGATGACCCAGGGGCAGCCATGAAAGCCTTCCTGGAAGAGATGGTATTTCTGTTGGGCATGCCTTTAATCATAGCACGTGGGAGGCAGAGGCAGGTGGATCTCTATGAGTTCAAGACCAGCCTGGTCTACATAGTGAGTTCCAGGCCAGCTGGGGCTACACGGAAACCCTGTCTCAAAAAGACAAAAAAAAAAAAGAAAGAAAGAAAGAAAGAAAGAAAGAAAGAAAGAAAGAAAGAAAGAAAAGAAAGAAAGAAAGAAAGAAAGAAAGAAAGAAAGAAAGAAAGAAAGAAAGAAAGAAAGAAAGAAAGAAAGAATTGGCCTGTATAGGCCAGGCTGGCCTTCAATTCACAGTAGTCTTCTGCCCTCAGCTGAGATTACAAGCTTCTATCATCTTGCCTAAGTGACATAACATTCTTGTGATTCTCCAAATGGATCACTAAACCTATCAGACCTCTAGCAAATGCCAGTTGAAAGTGCTATAAGATAATGTCTGAGGCTGGGCTGGTATTCCATGTCTCTGATCCCAGCAAGAGAATTGCTGTAAATTTGAGACCAGAGTTCTGAAACCTGCAAGAGATTTCTGAGTTTGACCACCGCCTGCCTATCCAATGCTCTCACCATTGAAACTGGCAAATGTATTCATTCATGACTTTTTGTTCTGTGACTATAAAAGTTCTTAACCATTGAAATCTACCCGATGACTTTATAGACATAGACAGGAGCCAAGGATCCGAGTACATACAGATTAGAGATGCATGTGCCAACATCGCAGTGTTATTAGCAAAAGCAATGAGTCTTTCTGTAAGAAACAGTATATTTTAAAATGAAACCGTGATTTTTTTTTTTTTGGTCTTTTTGAGACAGCGTCTCCCTGTAGCCCCAGCTGTCCTGGAACTCATATGTAGACCAGGCGGGCGGGCCTTGAACATACAGAGATCCGCCTGCCTCTGCCTCCTGAGTGCTGGGATTAAAGGCATGCGCCACCACACCCGGCAAAATGGGGATCTTTTTTAAAGGTTAAAAACCCATTCAATTTTATGTCTTACAGGGTTTATACTGAGTTCACTATTGTATGACTGTATTAATTCAACAGTGAACCTAAAAATTTTATAGCCACTTTTGAAAGAGATGTATCTTTGCTCTCTGGAAACTGTTACTGAGTATGTTAAAGCTGTAATGAAATGCTTCTTCTAAAAAATAAAATATATAATAAAAAAATTCATACACATAAGAAAATAGGAAAAAAAAGTTCTTAACCTCTTCCACAGTGTTTGTTTTTGAGACAGGGTCTCACTATGTAGCCCTGGCTGGCCTCAAACTTGCTATGCAGACCATGCTGGCCTGGAACTCATAGAGATCCATCTATCTCTGTCTCCCAAGTGTTGTAATTAAAGGCATGTGTCAGTACACTCAGTTTCTTCCAGTTTAAAAAAATTATGTTTATTTTATGTGTATGAGTGTTTTGCACACAAAATACTGCGCCCATTTTGCACCCAGGCATGCAATGCCAGTGAAGGCCAGAAGAGGGCATTGGATCTCCTGGAACTGGAGTTAAAGGCAGTTGTTAGACATCATGTGGTGCTGGTAATCGAACCTGGGTGTTCTGCAAGAGCAGCCAGTGCTCTTATCCACTGAGCCATAGCTCCAGGTTTGGTTTTTGTTTTTTTTGTTTTGTTTTGTTTTTCTTTTTGTCTTTTTGAAGCAGGGTCTCCCTGTAGCCCCAACTGTCCTGGGACTCACTATGTAGACCAGGCTGGCCTTGAACTCACAGAGATCCACCTGCCTCTGCCTCCTGAGTGCTGGGGCTACGGGCGTGCGCCACCACGCCTGGCTATATCTCCAGTTTTTTAAGACAGGGTCTCATGTAGCCCAGGCTGGTCTCTGGCTATATAACCAAGGAAAATGAACTTTGAATTCCTGATCCTCCTGCCTCTACCTCCCAAAGTGCTGAGATTATAGGCATGTTCCACCATGTAACATGTCATTCAGGATAATTCCAACCAGTGTTCCTGCACCAACCTGTCAGATTGGCTCAGCATAAGTAACACTCAGCAAGCTGAGACAAGAGGATGAGTTCCAAGCCAACCTGAGCTACACAGTGAAAAGGGTCTCAAGAAGCAGAAACAAACACACTGGGAAAACCAGACCAGGAAGCCCCTGCCACCCAGGTCAGTTCTATTTTAGAGGAAGGGATGATTCCCCGTGCCCAGGGGCCCCATAAAGTGTTCAACAGGCTAGAATCACATACCTCAGCCCAGCTTCCAGGTTCAAGGTGGGAATACAGTCTCTTTCTCACAGAGCTGTTATGTGACATACTATGAATTCTTCTCACAGTGTGGGTGCACACCCACAGGCTTTCAACTGCTGGTGGCTTATTAATGACATGGCAACCCTGTGAGGCCCAGCAATCTTGACTATTTTATAGACAGACTATGTCATGACCAGTCAGGGAAATTGGCATAGCCAAATCAGGGAACCCAAGCCAGTTCCACAGTCCAATACCCAGGCCCAGGGTGAGTCTATCTCACAGCTCATGGCTCTCCCTGGCAAGTTGGGTTGGTATGATGAAAGCCCTGGGGATTCTAAATGGCTCTACTGGGTGTGTGTCTACACTAGGGAAAGGCAGCCCTGAGAACTGCAGCCTCCTCTCCCTCCACCCTGTGGACTGGGTCTCTCCTTTGGAGGGTCTCAGGTCTCCAGGTCTAACCTGTGGTCTGGCATCCACATTCCCAATAGGTCTTTTTCTTCCTAGGGTCTTTTTGCATGTGCTCCATCACTGAGCTACATCCCCAGACTCAGACCTAGAGGAATAGTCTGTCTCTGTCTCTGTCTCTCTCGCTGTCTCCCTCTCTGAGGCAGGATCTATGTAGCTCTCATTAGCCTGGAACTTTATATGTAGAACAGGCTGTCTTCCCTCTGCCTTTGCATCTCAAGTGCTGAGACTAAAGATATGTGCCACCACAGCATGCCTTCTCTTATATATCCAAAGCTGGCCTTGAACTGAAGTGTGTAGCTGAGGATGACCTTGAACTCCCAAAGTTCCAGCCTCTACTTCCCAAGTGCTGGGATCACTGGCATGTACCATCATGCCCAGTTCATGTGATGCCAGGGATCAAACCCAAGGCCTGAGACACTAGGCAAGTAAACTCTATCAACAACCCCTCTCTTCCCTCTTCCTCCTCTTCCTGCCCTTCCTCCTTTCCCCCTCTCTTCCTCTTCCTCTTCTTCTTCCTTTTTTTTTGTCTTTTTGAGACAGGGTCTCCTTGTAGCCACAACTGCCTGGAACTCACTCTGTAGACC